CAGTGTGGCAATGCCACTGATATCAACTGGAATGAATTAATTTATATCGTCTGGAACATCAGCCTGCAAGACAGAAAATGTTGGCTTGGTTTGTCTCCCAAGCTGGACGACAAATGTAAAGATGGAAAGAGGCTGTACAACACCTCAGATGGAGTTTACTTAGTCATTCCTAAGATTTCAATAGAAGATGAAGGATTTTATTCTTGTGATGTATCGTATAAAGCAGGAAGCTATTTGGCAAACGTGTCTGTAAGCGGTGAGTACAAACATTGTAAAGCTATTGCAAAATTGTGAAAATGTCATCACAATTATAATTACATTGTATGATGTTACCTAGGTTCATACATTCAGTGATAGACTAGTTATGTCTCTCAGTGTTCCACTGTAGTCATGAACTACTGATGACTTAAATTCATTGCACACACACACAAGCACACTCACACTCACACACACATTTACTTAGCTATCTAAATGGGGACATTACATAGACTTCTATTGCTTTTATATACAGATATATAAGCTAATCCTAACCCACACCCTAACTCTACCCCTCACAGAAAACCTTCTGCATTGTTACAATTCAAAAATTTTATACCAATTTTATAAATGAGGACATCCCCAAAGGGAGGATTTTGGAGATTTTGTCAGGTTTAGCTCACTTTTGGGTACAATTTTGTCCCCACAATATGGTTAAGTAGGTACACACACATATGCACGCAAATAGTATTTAGAGCTAACGAGGAAACCATACCATACCGTATTATACTGATATCATACTGATGAATTAAATTAGAGTTCTTTGTTTTTAGTTACCAACGTTTCCACCCAGCTGTACAGTGAAAACAGTCAAAGGATTGCTGTCTGTAACTCCATATTTAAACAGAAAGCACCCACTCTTCTTTGGGAACCTGCCATAAACTTTTCCTCCAGTATCAGCTCTGTTGAGAATCTTGGCAGGTTTTTTATGATAAAGAATCGAGTATATCTGCCTGATCTGACATCAGTCAACATCAGTGAGCTCACCTGTGTGGCCACATACACCTCCGAGTCCGGCTTTGTTCAGCAGAAGAGCACACTTAATCTCACAACAGGTAGGAACACTGTATTTCAAATGGAACAGAGAAGTTATTTTATAAGAGGATTGGTAGTAAATTGGTTTGGTTGTTTCTTCAGCTCCAGGTACTTTTATGTCCAATAGAGGTTGATTTTTTATAAATCAGATTTCCTAGATTAGCTTCTTTTTTTAACCAAAATGTTGTCATTTATTTTGCTGCTTTTCTAATACATTTTATGTATAGATTTGATGGTATTCCACCTGGTCAAATTTTCAATCTTAAACTATGAAACTTCTTTAAGCTTTCTATGATGACCGACAATTTCCCCCCTAAAACTTTTTTTCAAAAGTCAGTGTACTTATTTACCAAGGAGACAACTGTGTCAGTTAACAGTTTAATATGTAATATGAGATTATATTATGTAAAGAAAAGAAAACAAATCAATGTAAATATTATATATAAAAATAAAAATCAAGGTATTTTACACAATACATGATTTGAAAAGTTTTTTTTACACAATACATGATTTGAGAAGTTTTTGAGGAAAAAAGGACATAATTCATGTATATACACTGTTGATATAATGTTAATTTTAATAATGAATAAACTAGTGAGAGTGTGAAAAGTGTTCTTTTTTTTCAAGGTTACTTTCTAAATGTCCACAGGGTCAAAATATTTTGCCAATATTTTAAGAAAAACTCTGATGAAATATTGAGGAAAAATTGTGTTTATTGGATAGCACAAAACATAGAAAGTGAATAAACACATACAGTTCTCACATTCAAACTCACAAGTAGTTTGTATTTAAAAAAAAAAAAAAGGAATCAGTTTTGGTAATATTACAGACTTTATATTTTTTCCTTTTTGTTGTGTCTACATTGCATTGTAACGTTAATTATATTACCATTGCATTTTAACATTTATTATATTACAAAGTAAATAAATCTCTTTTTTTCAGGTGTATTAAACCAAATGCAATCCCCATTTCCATGGGGAATTATGGCCATATCAGTTGGTTCTGTTTGTTTTATTCTTGTATCTCTGGCCGTGGTTTACACACTACGCAGAAAGCTCAGCGACTTAAGGTGGGATGTTTTACTGCACTGCTGTTGAACTGAATTTCTTTTCATATTATGATGACTAATTAATAGACTAATTCGATATCTGTTTGTATTTGCATTGCATCTTTTTAGTGCACTGAAGATGCTTTGCTGCAAATCCAAAATCTCAACACCAGCTGAAGACAAACCACCCCAGGTAAGAGGTCTTTATCAAACCCTGATTTTATACTACACCAAACTCCATTATTCACTATATAGGGTGTAATTTTCAATGATACGGTGTGCATCCATTGTAAAAGTGTTTTGTGTGGCTCACTGAAGCATATGTCTGTGTGTATGAAGCCCGCTGATGTTGAAGAGGTGGAACCCTATGCAAGTTACATACAGAGAGTCAACTCCATCTACAACTCCTCAGCTGAACTCTTCAACGCCTGAGAGACGCTCGCTTTTTATGATGAAACGGGATACCAGAAGAGAGCTGAGGGCAGAGATATGTCTGTGGTCAAAATTACACATGAAAAACAATACTAGTGGAAAAATAGTAATCTCAAGAGAGCATCCCCGAAGCAAACAGCGTCTGAATGATGAGCAAAAGTCACACTGACTCAAAAGATGAAAGGTGATGACAAAGGAACATTTCTCTTATATGTGATGAGGAATAACTGGGACAACTTCAGCATCAGCGATATCACTAATATGTAGATTTGTAGAAACGAGCCTGGTTAGATATTAATCATCTGAACTAATCAAATTTGTACATAATTATTTATATCAGAGTGTTAAAAGAAACAAAAATCAGCCGCAAACAATGTTTTCCTTGATAAATACTAACCAGGCCAAATGTAGAGAACCTATTTTACATTGCACATAATTAAAAGTATGTAAATAAACTTTATTATTCTACTTTTTAGTTTTGTATGTCCTTATAGTTTGGTCTTTGAGTTTTAATAGCTACATAAACTCTGTTTAACCCTCTGGTATTGTTCATTTAGGATGAAATCAAAACACCAAATATTAAAGAAAAACATTATTGAAATTAAATATAGTACATTCATTTCACAAATTATTTAATAAATTACTATATAATTATGGTCTCCAGTCAGTTTTGAGTGGCAATAACACAAGTGAGATTTTTTATTTCAGTCCAAAATTACTTAAAGGAAACATATTATGCCCCTTTTTACAATATGTAATATAAGTCTCAGGTGTCCCCAGAATGTGTCTGTGAAGTTTCAGCTCAAAATACTCCAATGTATTATTAATATTAGAATGAGATCCCTTTGCCACGTCATTAGGGGAGCGAAATCAGACGCGCTCGTTTTCTCAGACGCTTGCAGAAAAAGGCTTACCAAAACAAAGTTACTGGTTTCATCTTTTTCACGTTTCCTTGGTTGGTAGATGCACCGGAGACCTGATTATAGCACTTAAAACCTGGAAAAGTCAGATTTTCATGATATGTCACCTTTAACAGTAGCAGAGGGTTAAATCAACTACTCTCAGGCTCAGCCTTCTCAAATATTAGTAGTGTTTGATACCAGCAGTGTTGATTGTATCCGTACAAACAGGCCCTTCTCAAATGGTCATTGTTAAAGGGGTCATATGACATTGCTAAAAAGAACATTATTTTGTGTATGTGGTGTAATGAAATGTGTTAAGGTTAAAAAAACACATTATTTTCCACATACTGTACATTATTGTTTCTCCTCTATGCCCTGCCTCTCTGAAACGCGTTGATTTTTACAAAGCTCATCGGTCTGAAAAGCGAGGTGTGCTCTGATTGGCCAGCTATCCAGTGCGTTGTGATTGGCCGAATACCTCAAGCGTGAGACAGAAATGTTATGCCCCTCACATACTGTTGATGCCGTGTCCGGCCGGAGCGACGAGACATAAACATTAAAACCCATTACAAACGAGGCATTTGTTGCATCCAGTGGGGACATAATTACGGATTATAATGACTTATACTGTCTTTTTACACGCTGCTCCAAAGAGAAAGGAGAAATTTAAATCGCATCATATGACCCCTTTAAATAAGGAGTATGTGACATTATACCTGCTTCAAACAGATGCCTCCTCGAGGAGACTGTGCTGTTTTTTTTTATTATAATAACTGTGTGAGATTTGTGGTCAAGCTGTGGAGATACAGACCCTTTGAAACTTAGTCATTTGTCCTACTGAGATGAAATCTCACATTGTCCCCTTCATTCGGCGTGATTCAGTGTTTAGGGGAACGATGTGGAAACTTAGGGGTAGCTGAATTCTTGTCACTGGAAAGGAAAGATCAGGTACACCCTCAGATATCACACAGATACTCCTGCAGAAACTGAAACTGGTGGGATGTCATCGACTTTTCTTTTGGGGTTTTGATTTGGCTGTGGGATTCCCCAAGAACTTCCCCTTTAAATTTCAAGGTCATTTGCTTTGACACACTTTCCTACCTGCATTCTATTTCTGTCTCACTGAGAGCATCATTTGGAGGAACAGGAAAAACCAATGTGACTAAATGTTTATCATTTGAATATTACAGTAAAGAGGCTCATTCAGAGCAGACATTATGAAACCCCAAAATGCAAAACAAGCAAACACATCAACCGATTTTTTTAAGACGGAACAACTTTGAAAGCCAAAAATACCTGTGATGAAACTGTCATTATCTTAACGAACGCCTTCCTGTTTTAACATGATGTTATCAGGAGTGTGAACCTGAACATCAGTACTAGAAATATAAGAGCTACATGACACTAAAACAACATTCATACTGTTTAATTGTATTTTTTTAGTCAAACTGCCTTTATTTAGAGAGCAAAGACAGAAAACAAATGGTTTCATAGTCAAATAATCTAATAAACTCCTATAAAACATTATGACTGATTTGTATACTTACCTTTGTGTCTGCTGCTGTTTCTCTCTGATTGTCATTATCTGCTCAATAAAACATAAATGTAAATGTCACTGAACAGTGTATCCATTCACTGTATACAATGATTATCATATCTTTACTTAAATATAGGCCTACATCATCACAAAACTGAAGCAATTGAATCAGCTGTCAGATACAGAAGTGTACACAGAGAAGCATTTAGTGTGAACCACATGAACTTTGACATAAAACTGAACACATGCTTGAGTTCGCTGTCAAAAGTCTACTAAAACATATAAGAAGACGCTTCCTTATTAATGCGCGGCATTAGCTGCAACATGCTTTATCAGAATATAGAAATTTGCTTACCAGTGTTTTCAGGTTTCTTCTTTCTGAGGATAAAAAATATGTAAATTATATAAAGTCTAATACAATTTTCCATTTCAGAAACATTTTTTTTTTCAAATTTGCAATCAGCCAGTAGACTTAAGCACTGCAATAATAAGCAATATTGATATTTTAGATTAGGCTACTTTTTATGTCCCAATACAAAATACAAAAAACATAAGTTAAATAGGCTGCTATTACTTGATATCAGTACATAGGTTAATATCAAGCTATTCAGATGACCTACCTTCTGTTACAACTTAAAAAACTTCCCATTGTTCCAACAAGCTCAATATGGTTTGTACGCCGCGGTATACAACCACTGAAGCTACAACCACAAACTGCAAACTGCAGCAACAGTGCGGTCTTTACCCAGAGTTTCTAACCTGCCAGTCAGACAGAATAAAATATAAGAGAGGGATGGAGAGAGTGATTCTGTGTAAAGCGGTCAAACAACAGACTGCTTGTATTTCCTGTATATTGTGGTTTTCATTTGCCTTCGAGTGCATGACATGAAGACATGCTCATTTTCATGTGTGTGCTTTCACACAGTGGTCATTCTGCTTTCTCTTGTCCTTATAACACGGTTGCTTTTTTTTGGCCAACTTTTAAGTTTAGCTTGGAGTGAGATTTCGATTTCGATCTCGATTCAATATCAATTCATGTGTATATAGGCTACTGTAAAAAATAAGGGGATAAACATCTTTTGTTGAATGGCTTTTCAGCACCATTTTAAACTTGGTTTAAATTCAGTATTTGCTTGCATTCATTGTGTGTAATTATGCGAGTATCATTAAAAAAAGGATGTAGGCCTAAGTTATTAACTTTTTAAATTTCTATGAATCACGTGACCGTGCGGCGACGCCGGCAAGATCAAAGCTTGTCGCAACTCTGTTTTTCAATAGCTCTGGCTTTAACTGAAGCGCTAAATTTGACAATTTACGCCACATTAAGTGCGCCAAAACGGTATTTATTGTTAGAATTTAGTATTAAAACGTACACAATTTGAAAGCTGAGACTTTGTTTTATATCACAATCAGGGTTGCCAATTTGGCGTTGTCACGGTGCAGGGTGCCTTCTCGGCTTCCCCTGCGGTCTGTGTTGTCCTGTCATGTTCGGTAGCTCGTGGTCTGGGCAATCAGCGCTGATCTCGCAGCGGGGGTTCGCGGATCACGAGCTGACTCTCCCCCACCTGTCGCTCATTCCCCCACTCCCTTATATGTCTCTGCCTGTCTGTCTTTCGTCGTGAGTAGATTGTTTTGTCCTTGCTCGTGTCTTTGTGTGACTTGTGTGTGCAAGCATAAGTGTCTGACCCTCTGTTCTCCTGTGCTCAAGGACTCGTAATACGGAGATCCGGCAGCTCGAGTGGTCCGCAGTGTCTGCCGGCCAGCTCTGGAATCTCCGCTCACTTGAGCAGCAGTTAACTATTGTTTATGTTATTTTGTGTTTTGTGGCCAGAATAAAGACCCTCCTTTCTCACTACTCTGCATCTGAGTCCTCTCTCTATCCCAGACCGTGACAGGCGTGAGATTTACATGGGCAGAGTGAGAGCGTGAGACAGAGCCTAAGGCCCTGTCCACACGAACGCGGTTATTTTTAAAACCGCAGCTTTTTCTACGCGGTTAGGCCTTTCGTCCACACGCAAACGCAGCACCAGTTCACTGAAACCGAACATTTTTGAAAACGCCTGCCAGGGTGAAGATTTTCAAAAAATCTTGTGAGGTCGGTGCCTGCGCCGTTATCTCCGCCTACTGGAGACTTTTTCAGGCTTCTGATTGGCCAAAATGGCTTTACGGTTGAGATCATATCGCCACCTGTTGGTTTGGCATGCTCTTGACAGTGCTTCATAGCATGTGTTTGCGTTTTCATGTGGACGGAGATTTTTTTTAAAACGGAAGAAGGAAAAACTCTGTTTATAAAAATACCTGTGTACTTGTGGACATGGCCTTAAAAGCGTATGTCTCAGGCCAAATGCGTGAGAGTTGGCAACCCTGCCTTATAATGTGTGTGTGTGTGTGTGTGTACTTGTTTATACATTGTGAGGACCAAATGTCAAGTCAAGTTAGAAAGCAAAACAGGACAAATCTGAGATTGAGGTGCAATTTTGTTGAGCCCCTCTGGGAAAACAGCTTATAGATCATTCTAAATTATGTGTTTGTGTGTGTGTGTGTGTGTGTGTGTGTCATTTGCTATTCCACGACAGTTTTTCTGTGACAGATGTGCTCTATTATTTTCACTAATCTCTTATACATCATAGGTATGCAAATAGCTGTGACCTGGAAAACAAATACAGTGTCTGTTATATCCTTTCAATTTCAAATGGGTGAAAACAAATGTACCCATATCTTCAAAGATATGATACATGTTCGGTTTCTGACAGTTGATGCACTGCTTAGGCACAGGAAGTTATGCATTTCCTTCAAGACCACAAGGTAGATACTGATACTACTCTCTAACTATAAACTTCTTTGCGTTATTAACAGGACATTGGCCTGGCTTTATAATTTTTACAATTACAATTGACTTACGTTTGCAAACCGCCTATACGTTTATGCCTTTAGCTTGAATTAATAGCAAACATAAAATGCTTTTTTGACATCTTTGAGCAGATTTAAGTTGGGTCAGATCGTCCTCTGCACTGTCACCATCAGCTCTGTAGGGGTCAGTATGATAACACTTCAAGTACAAGAACACCTACAGTACCTTGATGTTGGGGAAAAAATAAACACTCAGAGAAGGTTTATACAGTAATTCCACCCCAATTTTGTAGCACTGTCTGCCAGCAGGAAGTTATAGAGTTGATAAAGCACACTTTTCTAAAGACAGTCAAAGACAGGAAGCATTTGACAACTTAGCCTTGATGTCAGACACATTTATATGGTGGATTTCAGCGGGGATGAGAAATTATCAGTGCATCATCTTCTTTACTCTCATGCTGCTGACTTTGGGTGAGAGTTATAATCTTATGTATATTGATTTTAAGGTAGTTACTGTTAAATGTTCTTTCATGACAGCCCTCACATTAATTTTTAAGACCATGCAGATATGCTGTTTTTAAAAAAAGACAGTAACCAGTGTATTACGGTTAACAGAACAGTGTTTTAATGGTGAATCTGAATGCATTGTTGCAGAGACACTGCTTCACACACTCTTAAAAATCAAAGTTCTTTATTGGCACTGATAGTTCCTTGAAGAACCTTTAACAACCATGGAATCTTTCCATTGCACAAAAGGTTCTTTATAGCGGAAAAAGGTTCTTCTGATTATTAAAATGTTCTTCACACTAACAAAAATAGTTATTTTAAGATCTGTTCACTGACAGGTTCTTTATAGGGAACCAAAAATGGTGCTTCAGTGACTTTGAAACTCCCGTCTGGAACCTGCATTTTTAAGAGTGTATGTAAGCCTCTAATCTAATAATAACCTAATATTGTGACAAACAGCTTTAGGGAAGGCAATGATCATAACTAGTTGGGGAGGATCACTGACTGCCTTTAAAGATACATTTAAAATTAATTACTGATAATTACTGATTTAAGTGTGACACATCAAAGCTGCTTTTAATAGCCCTGAGATTCTTTTTTTTTCTTTCAGATGGCCTATATTTCTTTCCAGCTCTTGAAAGGAAGTGTTTAAGCATGTGTTGTGACAGCTCTAGTTTGATAGAAACATTTCTTGTTCGCAAATATACAGGATATATTAAACGCTTAATCAAATATAACCATTTAACAATATTCAGTCTTGCAGTTTCATCCTACAGTTTTAATTTCCCACAGAAATGTGTTTGAACGATCACTCTAGTACTGTCACATGATGCTTTGATGAGTATTTACATGTACAGCTTCAAACACTCCTTAAACACCATCCTGATGCAATCTATCCAAGTGATCTCTAATCACTTCAACATCATTGCCTTTGTTAAATGTGTTTAAACATAAAGCATCTTCAGGGGTTGTTGTTCTAAAACGGATTTGATTCTCTCTCGTGTAAAAGGTGCACACATAGCTATATTGAAGGGATGGACTGTAATGTTTCCTCTCCCTGAACTTCCACTGGGGACTTCCATTAATTCAATCGAATGGAAATACCACACAATCAACAGAACGATCTTACTGGCCAAGATAAATCTAAATAGGGATCAAGAATTTTCAGCAAGAGGACTGGAATGCAAATCATGGAGAATGGTACACTTAGCATTGAAGATGTAAAAGATGAAGACTCTGGGAACTACTCTTTCCCATGATCAAAAGATGTGGAGAGAGCAGATTTATCTTCAAGTACTTCATGGTACCTTTCTCTTCTATTTTATGCTTAACTCAAGGTCATTTCTCTGATGATAGTCTTATGATCAATAGGGCGGTAGAGTAATTATCTCTGGCAAAAACTGATTAGTATCAATACGATCAGCGTATTCTGTCAGGCATTTGTATATTTGTCGGTACTGATCTTTTGTTTTCTCATCTGAAGACTCAACGACTGAACCAAACAGCAAAATGTACACCACAACATTTACATCATCAGGTAGGTTTTCATTCACTGCATTTCACATGGACAGCACATTCTCTTACTCAAATAACAACAAGCCTTTTTCAGTAAACATACAAAACAAATGCTTTAACATAAAAAATGCTGGGATAAAAAGGGACAAACCCAGCTATTGGGTTGTTTTGACCCAGCAGTTGGGTTCAAAACAACCCAACCGCTGGGTCAAAACAACCCAATAGCTGGGTCAAAACAACCCAATAGCTGGGTTTGTCCCTTTTTAACCCAGTGCTAGGTTATAATTAACCCAGCATTTTTTTAGGGTGTAGGTATACCTATTGTCCAGCTGCAAATTATGCCACTTCCCCCTTATGGATGAACTGTGAAACATTTTAAAGGGGTGATATTTGATTTGATTTCATTTGATTTTTTGCAAAGCCAGAATGACACTGTAACATTATTAGAAAATAAGGAAGAGCACAAGGTTAGTTTTTCTGGTGTTTAGGAAGTATCTATCACTCTGCATTATTTCTCATTGACTAGCCGAATCATCTTTCTAAGCCACCTTCGTTGATGTCACACAATTTCGTACCACACAAAAAATGTTATATAATAAAAATAAAATAAGTTTCCTTATTATATGACCTTCAAAGAAACAAAAAAAAAACAGAATCTACTTGATGTACTGGAATTTCTAAAATGCTGTATCGTCACAGACATCATACGGCTCATGAATATTTTTTCCCTTTTTGTTTTCTTCTTTTTCCTTTCCCTGTAGAGCCCAGTGTTACTGAAACTGCTTTGATTGCAATACCTG